AACACTGTCAAATACACCACAATATGAATATTTTTGAAATCGGGTGACATGTAGGGTCCAGAAATCCATGTCTGATGCTATTTTGAGATTCAATATGGTGGCTTCCGGTTACAGAAAAATAGAAAAATACAGGCGGGTTTTCCATCCATACACGTCACTCCAATTCCAAAAATACCCATATTGGACAAAATTTCCAAGTTTTTTGCTAACGGAAAGCCACCATATTGAATTCAAAATGTCGTCAGCCATGCATTTCCGGTCTCTACACATCACCACGATTACAAAAATATCCATATTGAGGGGTATTTCATAATATTTTTCAATTTTTCTGTAACTGGAAGCCACCATCTTGAATTTAAAAAAGGCATTAGTTTCCGGTCCCTACACGTCACCAAGATTCCTAAAATACTCATAATGTGGTGTATTTGACAATATCCCAGTTTTATTTAAACGGAAGCCGTTATCTTGGATATCAAAATGGCGCCAGGCATGGATTTCTGGTCGTCACCCCGATTCCAAACATACCCCTAGGTAAGGGGAATTTGACAGAATTTACAATTTTTTCTCTAACTGGAAACCATTATCTTTAATTTTAAAATGGCCGCAGACATCGATTTTAGGTCCTTACACGTCAATCCGACTCTAAAAATACAAATATTGTGAGGTATTTGAGAGAACTTACAAGTTTTTCTCTTGCCGTAAGCAGCCATCTTGAATTTCAAAACGGCCTCAGACATCGATGTCCGGTCCCTAAGTTTTTCTCTAACCGGAAGCCGCCATCTTGAATTTCAAAAAGGCGTCAGACATGGTTTGTTGGTCCCTACACGTCACCAAGATTTCAAAAATACCCAATATTGTGGGTAATTTTGCAGTATTTCCCAGTTTTTCTCTAACCAGAAGCCGCCATATTGGATTTCAAAAAAGCGTTAGACATCGATTTCCGGTAATTTGGCAGTAATCCCAGTTTTTCTCTAACCGAATTCAAAATGGCTTCAGACATCGATTTCCGGTCCCTACACGTCATCAAGACTCCAAAAATACTCATATTGAGAGGTATTTCACAGAATTTCCAAGTTTTTCTCGCACCGAAAGCCGCCATATTAAATTTAAAAATGGCCTCAGACATCGATTTAGGGTCCGTACACAGCACCCCGTCTACAAAAATACCAATATGGTGAGGTATTTGACAGAATTCCCAAGTTTTCTCTAACCGGAAGCCACCATCTTGAATTTCAAAATGGCCTCAGACATCGATTTCCGGTCCCTACACGTCACCCCGATTCCCAAAATACCCATATTGTGGGTAATTTGGTAGTATTTCTAAGTTTTTCTCTAACCGGAAGCCGCCTTATTGAATTTCAAAAAGGCGTCAGACATGTTTTTTTGGTCCCTACACGTCACCAAGATTTCAAAAACCCAATATTGTGGGTAATTTTTCAGTATTTCCCGGTTTTTCTCTAACCGGAAGCCACCATATTGGATTTCAAAAAAGCGTTAGACATCGATCATCAAGACTCCAAGAATACTCATATTGAGAGGTATTTCACAGAATTTCCAAGTTTTTGTCGCACCGGAAGCCGCCATATTAAATTTCAAAATGGCTTCAGACATCGATTTAGGGTCCGTACACAGCACCCCGTCTCTAAAAATACCAATATGGTGAGGTATTTGACGGAATTCCCAAGTTTTCTCTAACCGGAAGCCACCATCTTGAATTTCAAAACGGCCTCAGACATCGATGTTCGGTTCCTACATGTCACCCCGATTCCAAAAATACCCATATTGCGGGTAAATTGGCAGTATTGCCCAGTTTTTCTCTAACCGGAAGCCGCCATATTGGATTTCAAAAAAGCGTTATACATCGATTTCCGGTCCCTACCCGTCATCAAGACTCCAAAAATACTCATATTGAGAGGTATTACACAAAATTTCCAAGTTTTTCTCGCACCGGAAGCCGCCATATTGAATTTCAAAATGGCTTCAGACATCGATTTAGGGTCCGTACACAGCACCCCCTCTCCAAAAATACCAATATGGTGAGGTATTTTGCAGTATTTCCAAGTTTTTCTCTAACCGGAAGCCACCATCTTAAATTTCAAAACGGCCTCGTACATCGATGTCCGGTCCCTCCAAAAATACCAATATTGTGGGTTGTTTGACAGAATTTCCAAGTTTTTTTTTCCAACCAGAAGCCGCCATCTTGAATGTCAAAATGCCGTCAGACATCGATATCCGGTGCAACATTTCACCAAGATTCCAAAAATAACAAAATTTGTGTGGCAGTATTTCCCAGTTTTTCACTAACCGGAAGCCGCCATGTTGAGTTTCAGAAGGACGTCAGACATGGTTTTCCGGTCCTTACACGTCACCCGGATTCCAAAAATACCCATATTGAGGGGTACTTGACCGAATTTCCAAGTTTTTCTTTAACCAGAAGCCGCAATCTTGAATGTCAAAATGCCGTCAGACATCGATTTCCGGTCCTCAAACATCACCCTGACTCCAAAAATACCCATATTGAGGAGTATTTGACAGAATTTACAAGTTTTTCTCGCACCAGATGCAGCCATATTGAATTTCAAAAAGGCTTCAGACATCGATTTCCAGTCCCTACACGTCACCAAGATTCCAAAAATACCCATGTTGTTGGTAATTTTGCAGTACTTCTCAGCTTTTCTCTAACCGGAAGCCGCCATATTGAAATAAAAATAACGTCAAGCATTGATTTCCGGTCCCCGTAAGTCACCCAGATACCAAAAATACCCATTTTGTGCGGTATTCGACAAAATTTTCCAAAAACTTTTTTGGAAATAAATCGCAAATAATGTTTTTTTTTACGCCTGTTTCGATTTACGAACCGCCGGTGTGCTTCGTAAATGGAGGAATACACTGGAACCTGGAACCTAATTAAAAAAAAACCTCGATTGGAAAAAAAAAATCTTCGTCCGCAATCGAAAACAACAAACAGCCAAAACTGAAAGGGCCTAGCACAGGCCGAACATTTTCAATCCATTTAAATGATGTTTTTATGCAAGATTTCGAACATGTGAACGCGGATTATGTTTAAGAAAATAATAAAATATTTTAATCTACCTTGTTTGACATGAAATACGACTCGAAACGTATGTTCATGGTAAAAAATAAAAACCTGTGATTAAACTGATAAATGAACCTACAAAAACTGCGTAGGCCCTCTTCGGAAAACAAAGCAAACTGACATAGAGTGAGAAGAGTCATGTGACTGCGAGGTGACAATTGTCGTCTCACCTGATTCGCCACGCAGAATAACCCTGGCTGACCAGCACTGGGGGGCTGCGTACGAATCTTTTCACGACAGTAGCGGACAAAGCGAAGGCAGTAAGCGGTTACACGGTTTATTGCAGTATGCGACGAGAATCGGATGAAGTGCGGATTGATAGTAGATTCGGCTCTGGTTACTGCTACGACAAGCTTGCGACGCTCCTTTCCGTCCTCTGGATATTCATGTATGCTTTCACTTGGCCTATTGCTGTTCGGGAAAGGACAGCCAGCTGGGTCCATGCTCCCACAATGCACATTCGACGAAATTGGTGGTCCCCATTCCTCGCGATACCATATCTGCAGGATTGTGTGTGCCGGCTACGTGGTTCCAGCGCGCTCCGTGGGTAGCCGATTGTATTGCGGATACACGGTTGGCCACAAATGTTTTCCAGGTGTTGGGTGAAGCCTTGAGCCATTGGAGAGTGACTGTGGAGTCGCACCAAAAGTATGAAGCGGAAATATCAATTTGCAGTGCTTCGGATACCTTGGCGAAGAGCTTTGCAGCTAGATCTGCGGCACAAAGTTCCAATCGGGGAAGGCTGACGCGTTTCAGTGGTGCCACTCGAGATTTCGATGCTAGTAGATGTACAGCAACATTGCCCTGGGAGTCAACGGATCGAGCGTATGTGCATGCACCATAGGCAGCCTCGGATGCATCGGAGAATGTGTGCAGCTGGATGGTAGCGTTTGGAAGCAACGCGTAGCGTGGTACCCGGAACTCGGAAAGCTTCAGTAGTTGTTCGGCATACTTCTCCCATTTCTTAGCGACCGATTCTGGAACCTCCTCGTCCCAGCCAGACGATTTCAGCCACAGGAGCTGCATCAGCATTTTGCCACGGATTACGACAGGAGAAACTATTCCGAGGGGGTCGAATAGCTGCGATATCCCAGATAAAATGCTCCTATTGGTAGGTGGTCCTTGGGTCGGTCGAAGTATGGTCTCAAAACGGAACACGTCGAGTTCAGGTTCTCAGCTGATTCCCAATGCCTTTATTGTTTCGTCCTTGTCGAATTTCATAGAGGACTGAGTTTCGATTTGGTCAACAGCTAGTCCTTGCAGCACTTCCAGACTGTTCGACGTCCATTTCCGCAAGCAGAATCCACCTTTCGCCATTAACTCTCCCAATTCGGTCCTCAACTGGATAGCCTCTTGAACCGACTGGGCACCTCCAATGAAATCGTCTACGTAGAATCCCTTCCTGAGTGCTGGTCCTCCCAGCGGATAGGCATCACCTTCGTTGTCGGCCAACTGCAGCAGCGTGCGCATAGCAAGGAATGCATACGGAGCCATGCCATACGTAACTGTCTCAGGAGACGGTAAGTTTGCACTGGATCGAATTTGCTGAATCGAAACAGTATTTCTTGGAGTGGTGTATCGTCTTCGTGATTCAAGACCAGTCGGTACATCTTCTTGACGTCACCCACAACCGCTACTGGGAAGGTTCGAAACCGAAAACTGATATTAAGAATATCGTCCTGTACTACAGGGCCTGCAAGTAATGCTTCATTCAGTGAGTGCCCCGTAGAAGTCTTGGCGGAAGCATCAAAGACGACACGTACCTTCGTCGTCGTGCTGGCCTCTTTTAGCACTGGGTGGTGGGGCAGGAAGCATTCCTTCGACTTGCTTGCTTCTTCCTCGGGAACCAAACGCATATGCCCTAACTCTAAGTATTCTCGCATAAATTTACAGTACTCTTCTTTCAGGTGGGCATGTCGATCAAGCCTGCGTTCAAGAAGTTCGAATAGTCGTAGCCTTCGGTGGCCTTCGATTCTCCAACTAGCTCGTCGAAGTTGGATTTACGTGGTAGTCGCACTACGTATCGTCCTGCGCTGTTTCTGGTAACCGTGGATGTGTAGAATTCCTCACATTTCTTCTCCTCTAGTGAATAGGCAGATCGAGCTGGCGGCTCTTCGATTTCCCAAAAGCGTTCCAGGCTTTCTTCGAGGGACATTAGTGAAACGGTCGTAACGGAGCAGGTGGACGCATCGTGCGCATTTGTGGCAGCGTGGGCGGTACCAGAGACGATCCAACCGAATACACTATCGACAAGAAACGGAAGTGAATCAGACAGTTGGATTCTAGCGGCAGTCTTGAAGCAAGAGAAGAAATGCTCATTGCCGATTATCAAATCAATCCCGGAGCTCTTGTGGTAGTTTGGATCAGCGTAGAACAGGTCCTGGGGTAGATTCCAGTCTTCAATGGAGACGTCACGAGTCGGAAGGTTCGGGATGACCTTGTTCAGAACCAAGAAGTCGACATCTAGGATGAATTCTCCTTTCCGGGAACGCACTTGCGTACGGACAGAGTTGCGAGCGTGTTGCGGTTTCTCTCCTACTCCATGGATCAGAACATTCACCTTGTTTCGCTTTAGCCGCAGAATTTGAGCCAAATTTTTGGAGATGATGTTCGGTTGGGAAGCGCAATCCAAAAGAGCTCTGGCAAAATGCTCTTCACCATAACAGTCGACGATTTTCAGCAGTACGGTGAGCATGAAACCGTTTCTGCCGCAACTTTGCATCGGGATACTGCACACTTGCTCTTGGGATTTCACCAATGTCGATGCGGACAGCAACGGAACTGCCTCGGCAGTGGCTACGTTGGTTTGAACGGATGCCCTAGAAGAACTAACAGAAGAGGAAACGTTGACATTTGCGCTGGATTGTTTGGAACTATCCACGTAAGCTGATGAGGGAGTGGTGGCGTTTCTGGCAGAACTTGCAGCTGTACTTCGACGAACAGTTTCGAGCGGGGTGGTCGTTGCGGAAACAATTGAGACAGAGACGCTTGGCATTAAGAAGGTTCAACTTTTCGGAAATTGGAAGCTTCTCGAATTTGTAGCACTTTACTAAAGGATGACGTTGATCGCAGGTGTAGCACTTCATAGGAGAATTTTCGACGGCAGCATGGGACGAGACTTTCGTTGGAAACGATCTTTTCGAACACGGAGGTTTGAATTGGGTTTCGGCTGGGACAGACGAATAGTGTTTGTTGACGGAAATCGATTCCAATACACGGATACGACGTTGCAGGAACTCGATCAGTCGCTCGTAAGTTACTGCGTCCAGGGTGGAAGCGTGATCCTCCCACGCCTTCAGGGTGTCATCGTGCAGTCGCGTACAGAGGATGTGCTCCAATATGGTACTCCACGAATTTACTGGTTCACCCAACTGACCTAGAATTTTGACGTGTCGCTCGAAGTCGTCCACGATGGTATGCAAGACGGGCACTGACTCTCTCTTCATCTTTGGGCACTCCAACAACGCTTGAAGATGCCGTTTCCTCAGGAGGTACTTGTTGGCATATCGGTTGACAAGAGCTTCCCAAGCGAGCGAATAATTAGCAGCACTGATTCCAACTGACTCGATTAACTGAGCTGCTTCTCCCTTGATAGCAGCCCTTAGGTAGTGGAATTTCTGGATGTCCGACACATCCGGATTCGCATGGGTAAGAGCCAGAAAAGTGTCGTGAAACGCAAGCCAGTCTTTGTAGTCCCCAGAAAATTCAGGCAATGAAATGGTAGGCAGTTTCAGACCCTTTAGAGTGTTAGCCCCAGAAGCAGTCGGACTTGTGCCTTGTATAGTTATCAATTACTCAGCAGTACTCCAACTCGACGAGATTATTCCTCGGTTTGCACCACGGCGTGGTCGCAAGAAGTCCACCAACGTAATTGGTAAGGTCGTCACTGTTGGACACACTGAAGCAGGCTGCTATTCAAGGCCGACTTGGGACGGGATGTAAATTCAGTTTCCGCCACGGCGTGGACACAGAAAACCAAATGGCTGAACGTAATCCTCCTTCTGCCTGATCTCAACAGGCCTTGTATTTAAATAATATCTGGAACTAATCTCCACTTCCAAGACGCAAGGAAGGTTGGTGTTACGATGGCGGATGGCGGATGGCGTCACTATGATGGCACAATAGGGGTGGCTGTATTCCTATTCAGGCTTGGCTTTGAAGGCGGAACACTCAATAGCCGAGATGACTACGATGGCGTCAAGATTGTTCCCAGAACAAAGACTGGAACACTGGTATTGTTCAGGACTTCGCTTGGAAAATGGCGAAGGTAGAACGGGCTTCTTTATCGCGCAGGAATGTCAAAACGGTTGGCGACCTCTTGAACTGAATTGCCACTATCCTGGTCACGGCACCAAATTATGTTGGGGAAACGATTCACGGAGTGGCAGGATGTGGCCAATCTGGACCCTACTCTTCAGCATGCACTATGCACTAGTTAATTAGTCATCGATAGATCAAATTTCACACCACAGCTTGAACTCCACTTTATTGCTTCCACTCACTTACAAATTAATTTTAAAACTTCACTTCTTGAGCTACTGATAAGGACTGTGTATTTTTATTACTGCTACTGTCAACTTAAATCTAATAGGAACAGCTGATGATGTGCATGTATTGAAAACTGCACGAAAGAATTGAAAAGCGATAGCTAAACTAACGAAGAGTACACACTAGAGTTGGATTCTGCTTTTAGCTATATATACCGTTACACGACTAACATAGGGCATGCTAAGCTTTAAATTAGCCGCATATTAGCCTTATATTGCAAAAAGGTGAATTAGCGGGCTTGGTTATTTTGGTATTTTTGTCAAAGAGTCCAAAACCAAAATTGCAGAAAAGTTTGCATATTTAATAAAATTTTAAACAAAAATTGTAAGATAATTTAAAATGGTATTTTTTTAGTTACTGAACATTTTTCATTTTTAAAACAAATAACAAAAAAGAAGACCTTACTCATTTTACTCAAAGCTGTTGTCGAGTGAAAACCGACAGTAGCAGTTGTTCAACTATAGTTCACACGATAGTCTGTATATTAGATAGCAGTTATTGTCTCGGTACGCGCTTTGTTAATTGCCAGCAGCTTGGTCACTTTTTTGTTGCCGTAAGAAGCGAAACGTGTAGAATAAAGAATACCATCAACTTCAGCTTCCGAAATAGAAATACGGATGCGGATCTCGTTCAAATGGAAGTACTTTACCATATTGCGGATGATAACGTACTATTCATAAAGTTAAAGCTTGAAGAATAAATGCTGCATACACTACAACAATTAATTATCCATTATGCTCATGGAAAGCCAGTTGAGGTACGCATGACGTCTATAGGGGGGCAACGTTCATCAAGTTTGAGTGTCCGATCTTTCTCCAGAGGTCCCGGAGAGTGATTTAGCGTAGGTACTGGAGAAATACGGTAAAGTGAAGCGTATTATCCAGAAGCAGTTCCCTGCGGAATTTGATGGGGAAAAGAAATTCGCAACACACATCCTCATCAGATGGGGAATATATTCAAAACCATGTGTTCTTGTGCAAGATGGAGGGGCACCGAATGCATTCCTGCCCCAAGCGGAAGGTCCGTAAACAACCAGAAAACTCAAAACAAAAACAGGACGAAGAGCATAGCGTTAGCTGTACATATGCTGGTGTGATGGTAGGAGGTGTATCGCTGGAGTACAACAACAAGGTAACATAAGAAGAGATAGCGGTGCTTGATGAAGAAGTAGTAGAAAAAAACGTGAATGACTTCGCTGCCACATGACAGCGCCAAAATCAAAATTGTTCAGAAGAAACATTCCCGGAAAAAACATACAATACATAAAAACCTGCTTGTTATATTGTAAATTTCCCCATTTACCATAGATCATATTGAGGAAACAATAAATTCTATGTTTATTTTAAATTATATTGTATGGTAACAATACATTGTATTGTACCTCAATGGTTCATTAATTTTCGGGTTTTCGGTTCAGGTATTATAAATAGGTAATTTACTCCACAATTTGATTTCAATAAGTAATTATGTGAAGAGAAAGCATGAGACACTTAGAAACAGCAGCCATCGGTATTGAAGCATTCAAATGAGGTGGCACAGGAGAAAGCACACGGTAAAGCGCCAAGAACTTTTCCCGAACCCCATCAGACACTATCAATTATTTGAAAATTTGTCTTAAAGACTTTCGACCCCGCTATGATTTTTTAAGCATTGAGCCTTACCAAAAAATAAAAAAAAAGTAGTAAATTAATTATTTTTTTTATCTGTCAATTTTTATATAATTTTGTTTCAGACGTCATTTCCATTTGAAGTGACGTTTTCGTCCTATGATTTACTAAAAAATATCGAACCCTTCAATTAAAAAAAAAATAGGAAGAAACAAACTGACCGCATACGAGCAGATATTTGAATCATTACCCATAGCAAACAATTGTGCAAAGTTTAATGAAAATCGGAGAGGTTTGAATCTGGAACTCGTTTTCATTTTGCTATATTGCCTGGACTTGCTTAAAGTTACGTTTTAAACGCGAAGCTATGATTACGAAATTTACGTTGTAATCAATTTGTAAATGTACAAAATAAATTGGCAACATTCCACATTCGACGGAAACAAAAAAAATAGAAATCTAACACAATGTAAACAATTTGCATTTTCTAATTTTCTCCTATCGACTTTTTTTTTCATCACCTTCCATTTGATAAAAAATAACTTTTCAAACTTTTGAACGCATCCATACTCCTACATATTACCATTTCCCTTGTGAACCGTTTTTCTAATCAACCATTGTAAAACGACACCGGAAAAAATTTAATCAACACGCTTCATCCCATCTCTGAATGCTGGGTTTTGCTGGAAGGTGGCTCGAATTAATATTTGCATAGAAAGAATTAAATTCCTACGAAACTTTTCCCCATGTTCATCCGGGTCCCACATCACAGTTCTATTCCGATTGCGACGCTTTTTTAATTTGCAACTTAAGCAGCCCGAAAAACAATGGGAGTGAATATGCCGAATAAATACGATTATGAAATTAACAAACATTTCCCCTAGCGCTGAAGTTTTCCCGATATAGGAAAGTAAATACATTGAGCGGAAATGAAATTTATAATCCGATTAGAGAGACAAAATAAATCAACGCCTTTTTCCGAGCACTTCATAGATGCCTACGCGAAAGTGCAAGCATTTTTCCTCGGCATTTATTTCATGAATGGTTCATCATTTCGCTTTTAATCGGGTTTCAACTGCTGAAAATGTATTCCAAAGCAAATGTACGATTTCAAATCCCATTTTTTCAATTGGATTGTTGAATGGATCCTGCGATTGTTTGGATCCATTGTTTGGATGCGGAATTAATCGCCTGACAAAATAAAATATAGATACAATTGGAAATGATATATTTTCTTTGCTGATAAGCGCTAATGAAACGGTTTGGTTTATAAATGAGCAATTTGTTTTTAATCCAATCGAAGCCAGAGAATAAAACTGTTTCATTCAAATTTGTATACTTTATTATCGCATGCCTTTACTAATTTGGCTAAGGAGAAACATTAGGAAAGATGTCTTAATCCACTTCATAGAATAAAGTAATGAAAAAAGGAAACATGGCTTTGGTTTGACTATCGGCAGAACAATTTAGTTTCAAAATCACCGGTTTGTACTTCTAAATAATTGCTTTAAATTAATTAAGGAGTGCTGAGATATTTTACTTTAATTGGTCACACGCATACGGTATCAGCAACGATCAGTGACTAGTGCTTGTCGCCAAGCATCCTTTCGTTTACTCAGGTTTTCACTATAGAGTCGGTGTATAATACGCCAAGAATGAATCCAAGTCACCAGGATATTCCTGATATGTGGAAGTCTAATAAATTTGCGCTATAATAAAATGCAATGAAAACGCCATGAATGAAAATGTGTCAGGTAAATGCTATAAAAATATCTGATACTTTTACAATGCTGATAAGTTGGTAACTTTTATACGATCGTCATATGATAAATTAAATTAGATCAAATTATAAGAATAAACTGAAATGGATTTGAAACCCATAAGTATAAGCTTTACTTTTTACAACAATATTATATAGGGGAAATGGATGTAATGTCGGCCTAAATGCCCATAATTTGGGCCCATACATAAATTCAGCAATCGACTAAATTTGTAATAGCGACCAAAAATATCCACTTGTACTGTCTCAATGACGCGTTCATCTAGATAAAATTGATTAATAGCAGTTTTTCCGGCGCCGGTGGTGTAGTGGTAAGCGTGACTGCTTTCTAACACCCCGATGGGTCTGGGTTCAATCCCAGCCGAGGTCGGTGGGATTTTTCTGAGGCATAAAAATCTCTGGTCACGTCTTCCTTCGGAAGGGAAGTAAAGCCGTTGGTCCCGGCCCATGTGTGTTGAATGGGTGCGATATCCTACGCAGGTGTGGAAGCTACCTTCCTGCACATTCGATT